AGGCAGGTGTGAATGTATGTCTTTCACTAAAAAAAAAAAATCATTTTGCCGTTTGGGAGTTGTAGTTGCTGGGATTTATAGTTCACCTACAATCACAGAGCATTTTGAACCCCACCAGCGATGGCATTGAACCAAACTTGGCACACAGTTATCCCACGACCAAGAGAAAATACTGGAAGGGTTTGGTGGGCAGTGTCCTTTGGTTTTGGAGTTGTAGTTCACCTACATCCAGAGATCACTGTGGACTCAAACAATGATGGATCTAGACCAAACTCTACACGAATACTCAATATGCCCAAATGTAAACACTGGTAGAGTTTGGGGAAAATAGAATCTTGACATTTGGGAGTTGTAGTTGCTGGGTTTTATAGTTCACCTACAATCAATGAGCGTTCTGAACCCCACCAACGATGGAATTGAACTAAACTAGGAACACAGAACTCCCATGACCAACAGAAAATACTGGAAGGGTTGGGTGGGCATTGACCTTGAGTTCGGGAGTTGTAGTTCACCCACATCCAGAGAGTGCTGTGGACTCAAACAATGGTGGATCTGGACCAAACTTGGCATGAATATTCCATATGCCCAAATACGAACACAGATGGAGTTTGGGGAAAATACACCTTGACACTTGGGAGTTGTGGTTACCAGGATTTATAGTTCACCTACAATCAAAGAGAATTCTGAACCCCATGAATGACAGAATTGGGGCAAACTTCCCACACAGAACCTTGATGACCAACAGAAAATACTTAAAGCCACCCAGTCCAACTCCCTTCACCAGGGCAAGAAAACATAATCAAAGCCCTCCTGACAAAGAGCCATCCAGCCATAGATAGATAGACTTATATATATATAATTCACACAGACACAGATATAGTATCAGAGATTTGAAAGGGGCCCCTCAAGAAGGACAATGATATGTTGCATGTTCCAGAGTGGGCAAACCAGAGAATCTCCACATCAACACCGACAAAGAAACAGCAAGAAATACCGTATACCCACAAGCAGAAAGACATTTATTATTATTTTATTTATTATTTATTTTATTTATTATTTATTGTTATTATTAGAGAGACATCTCCAGCTCATCCCTTGTTTGGGTATCAGCCAGCACGCCAACGACTTAAATCAAGAAATAGTTTTCTTAGATCTACAGAGACACTCGCTGGAACACCTCAGCAAGCGAGAGTCCAAAAGTGGCAGGCTCAAACCCAGAACCTCAACCAATGGCTGATACCCAATGAGAGACTCCCCCCTGGGCACACAGAAGACTGGGCAACTTGGAAGGCGCTGAACAGACTGCGCTCTGGCACCACGAGATGCAGAGCCAACCTTCAGAAATGGGGCCACAAAGTGGAATCCACATCATGCAAGTGTGGAGAAGAGCAAACCACTGACACAAGAGTCCTTTGTCCCACCCTTGTCATTCCACAGATATATAAACCCTTTTGCCTAGTTTCAACAGACCTCACTACCTCTGAGGATGCTTGCCATAGATGCAGGTGAAACGTCAGGAGAGAATGCCTCTAGAACATGGCCATATAGCCCGAAAAAACCTACAAAGAACCTAGTGATTCCGGCCATGAAAGCCTTCGACAATACTCTTTTTTTTTGCCAGGGGTGCAGAGGCGCCTCTGTAAATGCCTCTCGACCGCCACTTGAGGAGCGCCCCCTCAGCTCACAACAGCCGTAGCAGTCCGGGGGGAGCCTCGGCTTTCTTGCCTCGCTGCCGGGCGATCCTCTTCCCAAAGGGGCCGGGCCCTTGAGCCTTGCCTAGCCCCTCTCGTTCCTGCTCCACCCGCCCCCCGTGCGAGCAGAGCCGGCGCTCAATCGTTCTCCGCGTTCGATCCCTTCCCCATGACCACCTCCCTTTCCCGATCCCCGGCGCTCCACCCGCCTCCTCTCCTCTCCCCAATCCGCGGGTAGGCCAAGGGACGGAGCTGCACCTGGCCTGCTTCGGGTCCAGAGACGTGTCTGAAGACCCCAGCGTGCGCACCAAAAGTCACCTCTTCTCCTGACTTTCTCTTCCGCCATTGGGACCAAGAGAGAGAGAGAGAGAGAAGAGAGAGCCCCTCCGGCTGGAGGTATCTCCCACCTCCGCTCCCTCCTTTGTTTTTGCGCCTACCTTCAGGAAAGGTGGGCATCTCCACCTCTCTCTTTCTCCTCAGCCATTGGGACCAAGAGAGAGAGAGAGAGAGCCCCTCCGGCTGGAGGTATCTCCCACCTCCGCTCCCTCCTTTGTTTTTGCGCCTACCTTCAGAAAAGGTGGGCATCTCCACCTCTCTCTTTCTCCTCAGCCATTGGGACCAAGAGAGAGAGAGAGAGAGCCCCTCCGGCTGGAGGTATCTCCCACCTCCGCTCCCTCCTTTGTTTTTGCGCCTACCTTCAGAAAAGGTGGGCATCTCCACCTCTCTCTTTCTCCTCAGCCATTGGGACCAAGAGAGAGAGAGAGAGAGAGCCCCTCCGGCTGGAGGTATCTCCCACCTCCGCTCCCTCCTTTGTTTTTGCGCCTACCTTCAGGAAAGGTGAGGCATCTCCACCTCTCTCTCTCTTGGTCCCAATGGCTGAGGAGAAAGTCAGGAGAAGAGGTGACTTTTGGTGCACACGCCGGGGTCTTCAGGCACGCCTCCGGACCCAAAGTGGGCCAGGCAAGGGAGCAAGTGTGGCAAGTGTAGTTACTGGGATGTATAGTTCACCTACAATCAAAGAGCATTCTGAACTCCACCAATGATGGAATTGAACCAAATATGGCACACAGAACTCCCACGACAAACAGAAAATATATATTATCAATGATTGGTTGGGGGGCGGTGCCAAAATACTGATTGCTTACCGTTGAAAATTACCTAGGGCCGCCTCTGCGTAACACCTGTTACGCGATAAGTGAGGGAACGCTGTACTATATCGTTGTCACACCTGTGACAGGTAAAAACATGTTTTGCATCGAAAACAGCGCCATCTGCTGGACGTCAAAGCAACACATCATGGGAAAAGGGCAGTAGGGCAGATAGGGAAATCCAGGCTGGAGAGAGGGATGGGGCACAGGTCCAGGGAAAGGAGGGGAGGAGGTAAGCAAGAAGGCAGGCCCAGCCCAAGCCTCATGCCCTGCCTGGCCTTGCCTGGCACCACCTCACGCCTCAATGAGGACTGGAGGCTCTGAAGGAAGGAACCAAGGATGGAATGGTAGGAAGAGAGAGAGAGATAGGAGGGAAGGAAAGAGTTTCCCCAAAATACCCTGATCATTATTATAAAGACTAGTACCATTGTTATTATCATCATTATTAAATACGCCGGAATTATTATTATTATTATTATTATTATTATTATTATTATTATATAGGCCATTATTATTATTATTTGCACCACTATTATTGTTATTATATGGACCAGAATTATTATTATTATTATTATTATTATTATTATTATTATTATTATTATTATATAGACCAGGGGTCCTCAAACTACGGCCCGCGGGCCGGATACGGCCCTCCAAGGTCATTTACCCGGCCCTCGCTCAGGGTCAACCTAAGTCTGAAACGACTTGAAAGCACATAACAATGACAACAACAATCCTATCTCATTAGCCAAAAGCAGTCCCACACTTCCCATTGAAATACTAATAAGTTTATATTTGTTAAAATAATAATTAGTATATAGAAATAAAGGTTGTAGGTTCGAATCCGGGGAGTGGGGCAAGCTCCCGCTGTCAGCCCCAGCTTCTGCCAACCTAGCTGTTCGAAAACATGCAAATGCGAGTAGATCAATAGGTACCGCTCCAGCAGGAAGGTAACAGCATTTCATGTAGTCATGCTGGCAACATGACCTTGGAGGTGTCTATGGATAACACCGGCTCTTCGGCTGAGAAATGGAGATGAGCACCAACCCCCAGAGTGGGACACGACTGGACTTCACATCAAGGGAAAACCTTTACCTTTACCTATTATTATTATAGAGACTGAAAGGTTCCAGGTTTGAATCTGGGGAGCGGGAGGAGCTCCCGCTGTCAGCCCCAGCTTCTGCCAACCTAGCTGTTCGAAAACATGCAAATGTGAGTAGATCAATAGGTACCGCTCCGGCGGGAAGGTAACGGTGCTACATGCAGTCATGCCAACCACATGACCTTGGAGGTCTCTAAGGACTAACACCGGCTCTTCGGCTGAGAAATGGAGATGAGCACCAACCCCCAGAGTTGGACACGACTGGACTTCATGTCAGGGGAAAACCTTTACCCTTTACCTATTATTATATAAGCCAGTATTATTATTATTATTTACACCACGATTATTATTATATAGACCAGAATTATTACTATTATATAGACCGAAAGGTTGCAGATTCCAATCCGGAGAGTGGGGTGAGCTCCTGTTGTCAGCCCCAGCTTCTGCCAACCTAGCAGTTTGAAAACATGTAAATGTGAGTAGATCAATAGGTACCGCTCCAGTGGGAAGGTAACGGCGCTCCATGGAGTCATGCTGGCCACACGAACTTGGAGGTGTCTATGGACTACACCGGCTCTTCGGCTGAGAAATGGAGATGAGCACCAACCCCCAGCGTCGGACACGACTTCATGTCAGGGGAAAACCTTTACCTTATTATCTATATAATCTATTATCTATATAAATAAAAATGTAAATATCTGCTCGAAACCTTACATCTCCCAAAATACTTCACTTTCTTCTCCATTGAATCACGTGACCGGGTACAGCTCGTGTTGAGTAAAAATACAATACCCCCTTGTTTGTTAGTTAGTTTATCAATGTAACTGCAAACTGTTTATGAACCCAATGTAGTTACACAGACCCTGTATGTCCAGTGTTGTACTTTGTGTAATAGTTCTCACACTGAAAATTACAATAAGAAGAACCTAGTTTACAAAGTATTGATAATGTTTGGTCCACCCTTGCTTTTGGAGTCCCAAGTCTTCATAATACATTAGAATATGCCGTGCCCCATGTGTGCCCCCCTCCCCGCCCCATTGCAATCAGGTTGCTACTCACGGTCATTGCACACCGGGCCACCATACGAGGTCATGGTGCAATCGCACGTGTAGCCGTCCCACTGTTGAAGGCAGACGCCCTGGTTGGCGCAGGAGTCCTCCGTGCAGGTGGTGCTGGGACCTGGAGGAGAGAGGAAAGGTAACTGAGAGGCAGAGAGGAAAGAGGAAGTTCAACTTAGGAGGCCATCATGGTAGGACACAGGAGTGGAAATCCCTCTTGTGTGTCAGACTGTTCAGCCCCTGATTGTGTCTGATGTTCATGATGGGAACAGGGGTGATCTTCCTGGGTCTGTTGGCAATGGGGATGAGGGTTTGCTTAGGCTTGAGGTGTCTCAGGAAGAGTCAGAAGGCCACATTCTTGAGAGGGGCCCTTCACAGCTTTTCTCAGAACAACTATCTGAGGATGATTTGTCAGGTGCAGAAATTAATGAGAGAGGAGATAATGTAAGCAAAGTTTTAGTAAACAGAAACATGATGTTCATGATGGGAACAGGGGTGATCTTCCTGGGTCTGTTGGCAATGGGGATCAGGGTTTGCTTAAGCCTGAGCTGTCTCAGGAAGAGTCAGAAGGCCACATTCTTGGGAGGGGCCCTTCACAGCTTTTCTCAGAACAACTATCTGAGGATGATTTATCAGGAGCAGAAGTTAGAGAGAGAGGAGATAATGAAAGCCAAGTTTTAGTAAACAGAGACAAAGTCTTCAGAGACTGTGTTGGTACAGCTGTACCAGAATTTATTATATTTATATTTGCATTATTTCTACCCCGCTCATATCAGCCCGGAGGCGACTCAGAGCGGCGTACACGATCGGCACAATTCGATGCCATAAAAATACATTCATTGATAAGCAAAAGAACCATTATAGTGCAATTAGACACAAGAAAGTGCATAATAACAATATGAAAAGCTAAAAACTATATCCTCTCATTCAAGTCCTTACCCGTTCCATCGTCTTGGGCCGTTCCTGGATCATTTTCCAATTCAAGTTTGTCTATTTATTTGGAGGTTCCAAATGCTTGCTCAAAGAGCCAAGTTTTTACTCTTTTCCAAAAGGTCAGGAGGGAGGGGGCTGATCTAATGTCCCTAGGCAGGGAGTTCCACAGTCGAGGGGCCACCACAGAGAAGGCCCTGTCTCTCGTCCCCACCAGGCATTCTTGCAAAGCAGGTGGGATCGAGAGCAGAGCCTCCTCGGACAATCTCAAATTCCTGGAGGGTTCGTAGGAAGAGATGCGTTCAGATAGATAAGCTGGGCCGGAACTGGTATTTTGGGAGATGTAAGGTTTCGAGCACATATTTACATTTTTATTTATATAGATAATAGATTATATAGATAATAAGGTAAAGGTTTTCCCCTGACATGAAGCCTACATTTCCTTTCTATGCGTGTGTTTGTTTTGGCCATGCATTTTGCAGTTGGGTGGTTCCTTCCAGGTTGCAGCCATAGGGCCAACCACCTGTCTATCATCGTTAAGTTCTTTAGTTCCGCCCCTTTCCACAGGGTTCTGGGAGGGAAAAGAAAGTTTTTTATTCAGTCTTACAGTTTAGAAGCTCAGTTACAGGATGTGAGAGCTTCTCCCACCTGTAGAAAGCTTCGTTTCTCACAAACATTGGGGGAAAGCAGTTCCACAGCTTTACTAAGAAATACAGCCAGCTTTGCTGGAAGGTAAAGGACACCAGCTGGAAAATCTACAAAGTCTTGGCCGGTAAGGTCTACTCAGGTTACCCATAAAACAAATTGGAACCGGGAGTAAGGCCCCAGGGGAAGGGTCAATGATTTCCTTTATAGAAGAAACAAACAGTTCTTGAAGCAAGTTGCCTGTCCCTTGTGGTCAGATTAAGCTACCAGTTTTCCAGAGTTTTAAAGTATTTGATTGATTTGTTGAAGATTTAAGCGTTAATAAAGAACCTTGTTAACCTTTCTAAGCTTCTAAAGACTTTGTATAGGGAAATCCATAGGTCCTCTCAGCCGAGGCACCCCGGGCATTCCGCTGGGCATATAGAGAGCATGTCCTGTTAACAGACAGTTGCCACAGGCCCAGCGTGTGACAGCATAGAGACTATCAGTTCATTTCTACAGCAATAGAGAGATAACAAACCTTTATCTGGTGTAAGGTCAAGACAAATGTTTTCCTTTCAGTTTTGGGATCTGGAAAGGCCTTATATTGATTCATGGGAAAGAGTTGCCTCAGTAGGGTCAACGTTGGAATTTCATCATGGTCTTGCTTTCAAGTGCTCTTAGTTTCATGTACCAAGTTTTTGCCAAGCTCCAGATTTGGAATTTTTCCTACTGTTTTGTTTCATGGATTCAAGTGCCTAGTTTCATGGATTTTTATGTACTCATAGATCTTGTTTCCCCTTGAAGCTTATGGACTATTTTATATATTGGACCTTTACTGTTTTGGGCTTTTTTTTATTGCGTTGCCTACAGATTTTCTTCAATAAACTGCTTGCTGATTTTACCAAGCTGGCGTGGTTTCCGAGGTCAGAGCTGCTCCTGCTCTGGTATATGACAATCCCTTAGGAAGAACTTTCTGATGGGAAGAGCTGTTCAGCACCCTTCACATCAGATGGAGTCTCCTTCCTTGAGGGCTTTTAAGCAGACACTGGATGGCCATCTGTCTGGAAGTCTTTGCTTGGGTTTTCCTGCCTGGCAAAAAGGGGTCGGACTGGATGGCCCTTGGGGTCTCCCCCAACTCTACTACAAAGTGTTGTGCATGGGGCCACCCTTGAAGACCTCCTCTCTTACCATCACAGCCCCTCTCGACGTGCCCGATCCGGTGCAGGGCGTCGGCGATGAGGTCTGGGAGTCGGCCATTGAGATCCACGGAGGCCAGGCAGCCTTGGAAGCCGTCCCGCGAGGCCACCAGCTTGGGCAAGTTGCTGAACATATTTCTGCTCAGGCCTCCGATGTACAGCTCCCCTGCAAGGAAGGAGAAGAGAGGCTCACCCAATGCAAGATACAACGCACAAGCAAAATAAAATAACTTGTTATATAACAAGTACTAGAAACACTAAGACAGGTCCTTATGCTCTTATTCTTGTAGTGTCAACTACTGTGTTGGGGCTCAGAAATAAGATGCTAGGGATGCTGGGGATTCTGCCTCAGAGGATGAGGGGATTGGTGGATTTTTCACTGAGTCTGCGACTGATCGTGTTGAAAAACAGACAGAAATGCAGATTAGAGAGATGGGCCGGCAGCTGGAGAACAGATAGAAGGTGATTGGGATTTCAGTTCTCTCAGTCTCAGTAGATCAGGAGTTATCCTGAGATATTAGATTAAGTCTCAGCCTGGAGAGAGTGAAGGAAAGGTTAATTAGGAGGTCAGAAAGACTCCATGAGAAGCGGTCCTTGAAATCCAGGTGTCGTAAGGATGACCTCGTGTCTGTTTGGTCAGGTTTGAGCTTAAATTAAGTGTTGTTTCCTTGGGCTCTTTAGAGCAGACAATGTTGCCTTAAAATCAAGTTCAAATTAAATTCAAAGACATAAAAGACACGGATAAACTAATCTACTTTTTCAAGAAGAACTCAGGAAAACAGATAAAATGGACAAATTGGAATCTCTTTCAGGAATATAAGTCAAACAGAAGAATGTAAAAATAAAATAAAATAAGGGGAATAGACTAATTTAAAAAGGCAATATGAATCACAAAGCTTGGAATGCAAGTCAACACAATTTCCCCTCCCCTTTTTGCTCCCCCCCCTCTTTTCTCTCTTCCTTTGTTTGTTGTTGTTATTATTATTATTATTATTAACTTTATTTGTTTGTTATACCTGTTTTCCTACTTTTCTATAACCTCATTGTTCCACCTCTTTAATATAAATAAAATCTCTTCCTTTTTGTGCTTAATAAAAATTTAATGAAAAAAAACAAGTTTATGTTTAGCTAAACATAAAAATGGCATACAGAAAAAAGGGAAGGAAGAGGGAAGGAAGTAAGGCGAGAAAATGGCATACAGAAAAAAGGGAAGGAAAGAAGGAAGGGATGGTGAGAAAGAAGGAAAGAGAGAAGGAAGCATAGAAGCAAAGAGCAAAGGAAGGAAGGAAAGAGGTAGAGAAGAAAGAAAAGAGAGAAAGAGGAAGGGAAGGAATGAACGAAAGAGAGAAGGAAGGATGGGAGCAAAAAGCAAAGGAAGGAAAGAGGTAGAGCAGGAAGAAAAGAGAGAAAAAGGAAGGGAAAGAAAAGAGGAGAAGAAAAGAAAGGCAGAGCAGGAAGGAAAGAAGGAGAGAAGGAAAGAAAAAAGGAAAGGAAGGAAAGAAGGAGCGAAGGAAGGGGTGATAGCAGGAAAAAAGAGGGAGGGGGGGAAAGAAGAAAAGACAGAAGGAAGCATGGAAGTAAAGAGTGAAGGAAGGAAGGAAGGAAAGAGGTGGAAAAGGAAGAAAAGATAAAGAGGGAGGAGAGGAATGAAGGAAAGACAGAAGGAAGAATGGAAGCAAAGAGCGAAGGAAGGAAGGAAGGAAAGAGGTAGAGAAGGAAGAAAAGAGAAAGAGGGAGGAGAGGAATGAAGGAAAGACAGAAGGGAGGATGGAAGCAAAAAGCGAGGGAAGGAAGGAAAGAGGTAGAGAAGGAAAAAAAGAAAGAGGGAGGAAAGAAATGAAGGAAAGACAGAAGGGAGGATGGAAGCAAAAAGTGAAGGAAGGAAGGAAAGAGGTAGAGAAGGAAGAAAGGAGAGAAAGAAGTAGGAAAAGAAAAAGGGAAGGAAGGAAGGAATGAGGTAGAAAAGGAAGGAAGGAGAGGAAGAAAGAAAAAAGGGAAGGAAAAGAGAGCGAAGGAAGGAAGGAAAGAAGGAGAGAAAGAGGGAGGGAAGGAAAGAAGGAAAGAGAGAAGGAAGGATGGAAGCAAAGAGCAAAGGAAGGAAGGAAATAGGTAGAGAAGGAAGAAAGGAGAGAAGGAAAGAAAGGGAAGGAAGGAAGGAAGGAAGGAAGGAAGGAAAGAGGGAACAAAGGAAGGAGGGAAAGAAGGAGAGAGAAAAAGGGGGGAAGGTTGGCCATAGCAACATGTGGTGGGTACAACTAGTTGTTGTTGTTATTACTATTATTATATCTATATGCCCATTTTTGGTCAAAAGATATTTAGCCACCTGTGCTTCTTCTATTTTTATCAGTTCTATACTAAATTTATGCAATGCTTTTGATACGAAATAAATAAATATTGGGACTATTGGGTTGTTGTAGGTTTTTTCGGGCTATATGGCCATGGTCTAGAGGCATTTCCTCCTGACGTTTCGCCTGCATCTATGGCAAGCATCCTCAGAGGTAGTGAGGTCTGTTGGAAAAGTAGGAAAAATGGGTTTATATATCTGTGGAATGACCAGGGTGGGACTTTATTTATTTATTTATCGTGTCATCAGCAACCATACCATTGTATTACAATTCTAACAGAGCAAAACAAACACACAGATTAAAAAGAAAAAAAACACACAGATTTTGCAAATTTGGTATTTGGTTAAATGTCCTTTGAGCAGTATCTGGCCCCTTGGAGTGCCTCTGGGGTTGCTGCAAGAAGGTCCTCCATTGCGCATGTGGCAGGGCTCAGGGTGCATTGCAGCAGGTGGTCAGTGGTTTGTTCTTCTCCGCACTCGCATGTCGTGGATTCCACTTTGTGGCCCCATTTCTTAAGGTTGGCTCTGCATCTCGTGGTGCCAGAGCGCAGTCTGTTCAGCAACTTCCAAGTCGCCCAGTCTTCTGTGTGCCCAGGGGGGAGTCTCTCATCTGGTATCAGCCATTGGATTGAGCTGCTGGGTTTGGGCCTGCCACTTTTGGACTCTTGCTTGCTGGGGTGTTCCAGCGAGTGTCTCTGTCTTGATTTGAGTCGTTGACGTGCTGGCTGATACCCAAACAGGGGATGAGCTGGAGATGTCTCTGCCTTGGTCCTTTCACTATTGGCTGCCACTTCCCGGCGGATGTCAGGTGGTGCAATACCGGCTAAGCAGTGTAATTTCTCCAGTGGTGTAGGGCGCAGACACCCTGTGATAATGCGTCATGTCTCATTATGAGCCACATCCACTGTTTTAGTGTGGTGAGATGTGTTCCACACTGGGCATGCGTACTCAGCAGCAGAGTAGCATAGCGCAAGGGCAGATGTCTTCACTGTGTCTGGTTGTGATCCCCAGGTTGTGCCAGTCAGCTTTCGTATGATATTGTTTCTAGCGCCCACTTTTTGCTTAATGTTCAGGCAGTGCTTCTTGTAGGTAAGAGCACGGTCCAGAGTGACTCCCAGGTATTTGGGTGTGCTGCAATGCTCCAGTGGGATTCCTTCCCAGGTAATCCTCAGAGCTCGGGATGCTTGTCTGTTCTTAAGGTGAAAGGCACATGTCCGTGTTTTAGATGGATTAGGGATCAGCTGGTTTTCCCTGTAATAGGAAGTAAGGGCACCTAGAGCTTCGGAGAGCTTCTGTTCAACCATCTCATGAGAGAAGCCTCCTCGCACGATTGCAAGACATCCGGGCGTCCCCTGGGCAACGTCTTCGTAGACGGCCGATTCTCCCGATCCAGAAGCAACCAGAGACCAGGGTGGGACAAAGGACTCTTGTCTGCTGGAGCTAGGTGTGAATGTTTCAACTGACCACCTTGATTAGCATTTAATGGCTTGGAAGTGCCTGGGGGAATCTTGCTATTTCACGGCATCTTTTCTACTGCTTTTCGGGAAATACCCCTTTTGTATATGCCTTTTGTAAACAAACTGCTGTAGTTAGCTACTACTGGATTGTGTGATGCTTGGTTGAAAGATGTTCCTGGCCTAGAGTAGATTTGATGGGGGTCATTGTTGAGCATTGCCATAAATTGCACTGCTGACCCCTAGTGCCATAACATTGTGTTGCAACCAAAGGTGAAACAATACAGAATGGAAAGCACATGAGCATAGGTATGTGTTAGACATGGTTCGGTTCGGTCGAAATCTTCGTCATTCGGAATAAATTCGGAAAGATTTGCTTTTTAAAGCAATTTCGAAGTTTTTAAGGAAACCGGAAGGAAATAACACTTACAAACCATCAAGGAAGGATTCGGATGTTTCGAAAAGTTTAGAACATTTTTTTTCTGTGAAAATTGGAATTGACTTCTCTCCTTCCTTCCTTCTCTACCCTTCTTTCGTTTCTTCTTTCTCTCCTTCCCTCCTTCTTTCCCTCTTTCTCTCCTTCCTTCCTTCTCCACCCTTCTTTCTTTCCTTTCTTCCCTCCTTATTTCCCTCCTCCTCTCCTTCCTTCCTCCTCTACCCTTCTTTCTTTCCTTCTCCTTCCCTCTTTCTTTCCCTCTTTAACTCCCTCCTCTCCTTCTTTCCTTCTCTACCCTTCTTTCTTTCCTTCTTTCTTTCCTTCTTTCCCCCTTTCTCTCTCTCCTCTCCCTTCTTCTCTCCTTCCTTCTCTACCCTTCTTTCTCTCCTTCCCTCCTTCTTTCCCTCTTTCTCTCCCTCCTTCTCTCATTCCTTCCTTCTCTACCCTTCTTTCTCTCCTTCCCTCCTTCTTTCACTCTTTCTCTCCCTCCTTCTCTCATTCCTTCCTTCTCTACCCTTCTTTCTCTCCTTCCCTCCTTCTTTCCCTCTTTCTCTCCCTCTTCTCTCCTTCCTTCCTCCTCTACCCTTCTTTCTTTCCTTCTTTCTCTCCTTCCCTCTTTGTTTCCCTCTTTCTCTCCCTCCTTCTCTCCTTCTTTCCTCCTTTCTTTCCTTCTTTCCCCCTTTCTCTCTCTCCTCTCCCTCCTTCTCTCCTTCCTTCCTTCTCTATCCTTCTTTCTCTCCTTCCCTCCTTCTTTCCCTCTTTCTCTCCCTCCTTCTCTCATTCCTTCCTTCTCTACCCTTCTTTCTCTCCTTCCCTCCTTCTTTCCCTCTTTCTCTCCCTCCTTCTCTCCCTCCTTCTCTCCTTCCTTCCTTCTCTACCCTTCTTTCTTTCCTTCTTTCTTTCCTTCTTTCTTTCCTTCCTTTCTCCTTCTC